TAAGCCCTGGAAATAAAACATTTATTTTACATCAGAGTTCAACTGAACTAAATAAAAGACAATTACACAGTTTGGCCCATGGGAGGCGTTTTCATTTAGGAATACTGTACTCATTATTACCGCCTGAATAGTCGGCTGTGGTTCAGATAAAAAAACTTGACATGCGCAGAGATATACAATATAAATATCATTGTAACGCGTGGAATGATCGGTCCCTTTGAGCCATTGTAATGATCTCATATTTGACGACTATTTGGTTTGAGCTATTTATTTGGTATCACTGCGCACGTTAAAAGCTCAATCATTGGACCTTTCAAGGTTGTCCCTACAGCAGTTCAAGGCTGAAACGAAAAATCAAACAGAAAATACAACAGTTTGCGTAGGATGGAAACTTAACAGGCAAACTACCGTAACATCATACGTTCAGCGTTAATGTTGTATAACTTTGCATCCACTTTCACTAATAGTAATTTCATTATGGATCGCACAGGTATACTAAAACCACATTCATCATTGCATCAAATTGAGTGTATGCAAGTATGAGAAGTCCTAACAGGTGTAAACAGTCTTATCGAGTGGGACATCTATCGACCTTGAAACTAATTATGATAAAGACGTTGTTAAAGGGCGGTGGTCGTCGTGCTGCGCATGTGCGACATTTGTGTTGATAAACATTGATTTTTTATACAATCTAATGCACACTCTGATGGAAATCACGAAGATGAGGTTTTGAACTAGGCACAACGTGCACTAAATACCACCAGTGACTTCTTCGAAACTGTCTCAGTTTGTATTCGTTGGTCTACGCAACAGTCAAAGTCATCATCTTTGTTCATATAAGTCCCATATATCGCGCATGCGTGGTACGACGACCACCGACCTATAATTATTACTAATATGCGGCTTCACCAAAGAATGGTTACATTTTAGAGAATTATCTTTAATAAGTGCACGACTCGATGATTTGAGATACTAGCAACTACACACTACATATATATGCTGACAAGAAGAATTTCATCAAAGTCATCATCGAAGTAATCAAACGTAGCGATTATATTTGTGACGACATACTTAAACAGTCACTTATATAAATGATAAATTGATCCATTTCATGCGATCATTTGTATAAAGCCTACTACGTTTAGATTTCTAAATTAGTCGTTTTAGCGTGAAAAAGCACAAATATATTATTTAGTAACAATATAAAAAACAACCTCAGTGGCGGCGGCACCGGGAGGTAGGGCTTTTATGGCTTTTCAAATGAACTTCGTTTTAATTTTAGGAAATGGAAAAACAATTAATGTATTTTCCGTCAATAGACGGATTGCAGAATGGGTCGAGTAGATAATACTGGCCACGGC